AATCACAAATGGGGAAATACTTTATCAAACCACTATTATTAAAAAGTCAAGAACGGTCTTCACACATAAACAATATTTTATGGTTACCTAGGATGGAAGGGAAGTGAAAAGTCACTGGCTAGAGAGCATGCTATCACTGGGTGAAAAGAAAAGCAATAATACAACGAGAGAGGGGCCAAAAAATGATCCAGGCATGGGAAGGCACTGAAAGTTTTAAAGAGTTAAAAATCATTGAAGGTAAATATTATAAACACAATCCTGAAAGTGGTGATCTACGAAGGGATGCTTAGGTAGACATACAAACTGAACAGATATGAGAGGGAAAATGAAAGTGTACCTGCGTATGTATGTATGTATGTATGTATGTGTATGTGTACTCACTTTTACTGCATAAAATGGTGGAGCAGGGGCAGAGTTAAGAAAACTTCTTAGACATAACCAAAAACTTTTAAGGAATAAGTTGCTGGATCTCTGGGTGTAGGACCATAATATCAGGGGAGATACCAATGTCGACTGGCATTAATCTACAAAGACAATGTTTTACTTTGGTAGCAACTGGGTCTTAAAGACTTATGAGTAGTCATCTAGGGAGCAAGTATTGGTCTCTCCTTGTCTGAAGAAATAAATGTGATGAAAATCAAAGAAGACAGAGAAAGAGCTAGTCCACTGGACCAATGAACCGCATAAACATGGGTCGCCACACCCTTAAGACCAGAAGAACAACACAGTGCCTGGCTACCACTACCAACTCTCTGAAAGGGCGCGCACTAGATTTTCCTGGATAGAGAGTGAGAAAATGTGGAACTAAGCTCCAGATCGTAAAAGACATCATGGTTACTGGTCAGAGGGAGACAGGTAGAAGTCCCAACACTAAGAACCCTAGTCACCCTTCAGGTCTAAAAATGAACTCATCCCCATTGACTCAATTTTCAGACAAGCTGTAGACAGGTCTATAAGGGGAACAGTAACATTTCTAAATTATGTACAACTTAGAATAATCAACCACATGAGATCATTTAACCAAGGACAAAGTGCAGAAGAATTAAGCGAGGCGGCAGAATAGAAGCAGGAAACACAGGGAGGAGATGGGATAAATGGACTGACAGGACTGCAATGAAAAAGAAAAACACGTGGTGAGTTGTTACATGTAAAACTGCTGCTGTTCTCTGCAAACGTTTACCCAATTCACAAGTTAACTACCGTATATACTCGTGAATAAGCCGGGTTTTTCAGCACATTTTTAATGCAGTTTTTGTGGTAAAATTAGATGCCTTGGCTAATATTCGGGTCGGTGTATACTCAAGTATATACAGTAATAAATTTAAATAAAGAAAAATTTCCAAACTTAACAACCTTCATACATGCTAACCCCTAAAACAAATGCTACGAAAACAATAAGTAAGAAAAAAAAGAAAATAGTGCACTAGAAAATATCCACTAAAATATAAAAACAGGCAGTAAAGGCAGACTACAGGAACAAAAAAACCCATGAAACATACAGAAACAAGAAGGAAAAATGGCACCCGTAAGTATAAGTATATTAATCATAACAACAAATCTGAATGGCAACCTAATCAAAAGGCAGAGGTCATCTAACTGGATTTAAGACCACCCAACTGTATTTGTCTATAGGCAACACACTTTAGATACAGTGATCTAAACAGACTGAAATGAAAAGAATGGGGAAAAAAATATTATGTCAATTGTGACCATAAAAAGGTTGGAGTTGCTATAATAGTATCAGACAAAATAGACTTGCAACAAAAAAATTTTTTATTAGAAATGAAGGCATTTTATAATAAAGTAAGCAAAAATAAATACATTTTTAAAAAAGGAAAAAGAGACTCAAATTACTAGAATAAAAAAAACAAAAGAGGATAAGTTTACTTATTGAAATAAAAAATGAGATTATAAAGGAATACTATTAACAATTGTCTGACAATTAAATAACTTAGATGAGATGGAAAAATGGATGAAATAGAAAAAGTGATAACAAACAAAAAGGAAAAATATAAAATATTAACACATTTATAAAGAACAGAGATAGAACTAGCAATAAAAATAATCTACTGCCCACTCCTCTCCTCCCCCTCCACATACACACAAAAGGATAGTGGGATCAGAGGACCTCATGGAGAATTCTTCCAAATATTTAAAGAAGAATTAAAATAGTTCACAAAATATTCCCCCAAATTTTGAAAAGAACACTTTGCAAAATTCATTTTGAGTTCAGTATTGCCCTGATAACAAAATCAGATAGATCTAACAAGTAAACTAAAAATGAATGCTTTAAGTACAGATTAAATACCAGTAAACTACTAATCAAAGTGAATCCAACGACATATAAAAACATTTATTGCCATGACCAAGTGGGATTATTGAAGCAGTGCAAAGGTGGTTTGTATATCAATAGAACACATTGTATCAATGGATTAAAATTCAAACAAAATAAAGTCTCCACATAATCATGTCCATAGACACAGAATAAGTATTCAGACAGCATCCAACATAGTTTATAATAAAACCATTGATACCACAATTATATCTTTGTAGTAACTTTTGAATTCAAGGTTTCCAACTTCATTACTTGTTTTCAGGATGGTTCTAGTCTAGGACTTCTAATTTGATATAAAATTGAAAACTGGCTTGTCAGTTTCTACACAGAAGTAAAAAGAAAATCTGATATGGACTGTGTTGATGTTGAATCTGCAGATTAATTTTAGTAGTATAACATTTAACAATATCAAATCTTCTAATATATGAACATGTAATGTTCTTCTATTTAGCTTTTTTAAAAAAAACTTCTTTAACAATGTTTTATCTTTGTTTTGTTTAAGATACTGCTCTGTATTCAACCCTTTTTGATACTTTGGTAAATAACTTTTTAAAATTTTAGTTCCAGATTGCTCATTACAAGTGAATAATGGATACAGTCGATTTCTGTGTATTTACTTATATCCAGTACTCTGAAAAACTCACTTATAAGTTTTTAGTGGATTCCTTAGGATTTCCTAAATACACAATTATAGCAACTATACATAGAGACAATTTCATATCATCTTTTCCAATCTAGATGCTTTTTATTTCTTCCTGGCACAGGTGTGGTATATACATATAAAGTAATAGAATAGAATTGAGATTCCAGAGACAAACTCAGGTGCCTATGATCAAATGACTTTTAACAAGGTGTCAAGAGACAATACAACAGAGGGAAGACATGCTTTACACAAGTGGTATAAAAAGAGGTTAGACACTTACCTCACATTATATACAAATAACTCAAAATGGATAACTACGTATATATGAGCAAAAACTTTTAAATTCTCACAAGAAAACAAGGAATCAACATGACCTATAATTTGGCAATGGATTCAAGATAGGACACCAAAAGCATAAGCAAAGAAAAACAGGACCAATCAGACTTCATTAGGACTGAAAACTTTTGTGCTTCAAAATGAAACTATCCAGAATATGAAAAAGTAACCCAAAGAATGGGAGAAAATATTTGCAAAGGTAAAAAGGAAATTGTGTTTTGAATGTATGAAGAACTCTTAAAATCTAACTATGCCAGATCTTTGCCAATGGCCTATCAACAGCTGAATGGGTTAAAAAAAAAGGTACAAGCATAACATAAATGAAGCCTTGATATAAGCTAAACTATGGTGGATGAACCTTAAATACATGCTGAATGAAATAAGTCAGTCACAAAGAGACAAATAGTTTATGATCCCACTTATATGAAGCACGCAAATTTATGTAGACTAAAGTTATTAGTGGTTCCTGGGGCTGTGAGGAGGGAAAAGTTGTCGTCTTTGCTCAGAGGCCATGAATTTCTATTAATTGCAATGGAACAATTTAGGAAATGGATAGTGATAATAGTTGAACAGCAGGTTATTAAAATTAGTGTAACTGAATTATACATATAAAAATGTTGAATTTGTTTTGTTATATACATTTGTACAATAAAAATAATTTTTACAATATTTTATTAAAAATTATTTCAATAGGTACATTCCCCAAATATTTACAAATAACCAAAGCTCACCAACGTAAGAAACACAATAAGAAAACGCAAATGAAAACTACAAAACTATACCATTATTAAAGTTATAAGAAAAAAGTCCAATAATAAGTGTTGGTAACACTGTGGAAAAATTAGATCCTTCATATATGGCTGTAAAGAATGTAAAACATAGTAGTCACTTTGAAAAACAGCCGGGCAATTACTCAGTTACCATATGATCCAACAAGTCCATTCTTTGTTATCTATCAAAGAGAACTAAAAATTAAGACCAGGAAAAGGGGTGTACACAATTATTTACAATATCATTATTCAAAAAAGCCAAAGGTGGTAAGAATTCAAATGGCTATTACCTGATGAATTGATTAAAAAAACACTACATATCCATATAATGGAACATTGTTTATCATAAAAACAAATGAAATCCTGATACGTTACAACATAAATTCTAAAAACACTTACGTGAAAACACACACACACACACACACACACACTATATGACTTCATTTATAAAAATGTCCAGTACAAGAAAAACTATGGGGGCAGAAATTAGATTCATCATTTCTTAGGATTAAGGGGAGGATGGGAATAAAAGAGGTTGGTAAGTACAAGGTATTACATTTCTTTGTGAGGTGATGAAAATATTCTAAAATTCATTGTGGTGATGGTGATGTAATTTACGGTTTATTAAAAGCCTTTGAACTTTACACTTTAAAAGGATGAATTCAAGTATGTAAAATATCTCAATAAAATTGTTTCTAAAATTGACACAATAAATTTTAAAAGAAAACAGTAAGAAACATATTAGTCACAAGGGAGAGGATCAGTCAAATTCTACTCTTGGATTAGTAATCCCCTTCTATACAAATATAATTTAACTTCTGGGCAATGATACCAGTGAGTTCCTAGTGATCAAAGAATCCGGTTTTCAGTACTATTTTATGCCTTCCAGAGAGACAGTGAATAATGGTGCATTTACCTTCCTTCTCCTTCCCTACAATTAGGACAGGAGCATGCAACTCTTCGAAGCCTCTTGCCAGGTTGCACCTCTTGATCAGAAGTTTGCTGGCCCTGCTGCAAATGCACTTGAGTGAGTTGGTCAGGACTAACAGCACCTATCGTTGCATTAGCAATTCCTCCAACCGCTACCGTTACAGGAGCTATAGTAGCTTGTTGGACTTTCACTCCATCCTGTCCTTGCTGTTGACCTGGAAAGGGGGGGAGAAAGAGTATTATATGTTCTATTCTTCCAGAAAGGGTTTTTTTTTAAAGTCCATGTGAGTATTTTAAAGGTAACGTATTTGTTCTTTAAAAAGTATGTAAAGTATACAAGCAAAAGGAGTTGATGACTTACATACTATGTCAATCTCTCTAAGATATATTCATACTTTAGTAGCTTAGGTTGCCTTTGTAGCAAAGTCTTTGTGACTACATAATGCATTTAACCCTCTTGGTATCTTACTTTCTCCATTTGCAAAACAAACATAATAATACTGGTCATCTACTTAACTCACCAAGTGTGGGGAGTAGTCAAGAGGGCAATTTGGGATCCTCAGATGAAAGATGTTATATAAACACAAAGTATCATTATTTCTATTTTCAAATATTTATTCATGCACAAAAGCAACATTTCTCACTTTTAAAGTTTAAATTATACACTTCTTCATTAATGAGTCATTTTTAATACATAGATGAAGTATTTTATTTAAATGCAAAACCACCCGTGACTAATATATACAGTCACTATAACAATAAGACATTTAAAATATCATTACTTTCTTCACTCATGGGCCTCACCTCTCAATTAGTATATACATAAAGGTGGCTTCTTTACTATGAGAAAGTGTGATCAATAATGCACAATATGATAAAAAGAATACCTAATCATGACTTGACTTTATTGAAGGACACATGAAGTTGCTATTGCCTCCTTCTCTTTTACTTGACATAGTCCTACTTTCTCTCCAGCAATAGTAAAACTTTGAATGGGCAAAAAGAACAGTAAATATGTGAGCATAAAAAATTAAAAAACAGAATTAAGATACTTAAGATTAAATAAGTTAAATTATAAAAATACCTTACCACCATGCCTGACAAAAAAATCGTTCATATTATTTTTATTAAGTCTATTTTTTTAAGATGGGGAGAGAGAGAGTGATCATTCAGTTATTGCCATACAACAGTGTGCTAAGGTCACCACAAGCCATCACACTCCTACTAGATTTATAAGCAACCCTTAAAGGAAATTCAAGTCAAAGATGTGGGGGAGGGAGGCATGTATGTCTCAGAGAAGGCAATTACATTTCTGTTGTTGACACTACCTCATTTGGAAAAAAGGTGCTTAACAATACTTTTATAGAACCCAAGGGGGGAAAGAGCTTGGTACTATGTTGCTAGCTAGACACTTTTGACCTAGTTTCTACCCAGCCCATGTGCTTAAAAAAACTGGGAATTTAGTTGCTGTCCTTCATAGACAACACCAGAAAGAATGAATGTGGCAACTCTGCTAAAAGAACTGGACTTTATCTCAAACTTACTTGCAGCTGATTTAAAGAACTGACATACTCCCTTGGACTTAAGGTTCAAACAACTTAATCTGAGAAGATGACTGTTATCCCAATGTTATGGAATTGACAGTTGTTGGACTTAGTTTCATTGTCTTGCTTTGAGGGTGCCCAATGAATAGTGGCTGAGGATTACCGTATATTCACTATTTTAATACCCTCCTTGCTTTTAATGACATGTACTAGTCTAGTAGGCATGGTTCTGCCTTTGTAAATGGGTGTTATTGAAAGTTTTGCCCTATCACCAATCCCCAGTATTACTGTAATAATATCCAGTCACTTAGTTAAGTCTGTACATGTCAATAATTCATGTATTGTGGTCTATATTTATATAATTTCCTTTTCTCAATAGTATTTTAAATTCCACACCATTGGCTACATTAATGACAATATCAATCGAATTACCTTAACACAGGAGGATGATTTATAATGTTCTCTATCCTAAAATATTATCACTAAAGTGAAGAGACATTTATAAACTATAATCTTATGAACAGATTTTGGGCTGGCACTTAATTCTTACCCCAATAAAAGAATAATTAGTTCTATATGACATGGCCCTACTCAATACTTGCCCTCATGAAGAGATCAATGAAGATATGTGTGCAATAGTAAAGTGTGTTGAAAAATCAGATGATGCCCAGTTATCAGAAAAAATAGTATCTGGGGTCTTAAAGGCAAATCTTAAAACAAGCAGCCATTTAAGTGAGGCATCAACTAAGCCCACATGGAAGAAGTACACCAGCCTGTGCCATCCAAAGATTTTGAATAATAAAATCTAAATCTGAAGGAGGGAAGGCTATCAGAACTTAAACTGTAAATAGTTTGCAGAAGGTTGTGGATGACAGTAGAAGCACAAATTCAATATGCACGGTCTCCATGTGGAGTAAAACTGGTGAAATCCCTTTGAACACAGTCCAGGGATGTGAATATACTAGCTATCAGACAGAGAGGTTTGTAAAGTTATTTAGAGCAGGATGCTGTTAAGATAAAATGCAATACATTATAATTTAATTGGCCCTTTAGCCCATTTTAAAGTTGCTTCAGTTTTTAGTATTTTCTGCTTTCTTTCCTATAGATGCTTTTGTTTTGTCTAGTCATTTTTGCTGGCTTTTGTTTGCTTGCTTTCTGTTTGTGTTTGTATAATTTTCTATAAATGGAACACAAGATAGGTAAATCTATAGAGACAGAAACTGGATTAATAATTACCTAGGGACATGACATTAGGATGAGGGGGAGGGGGAATGAAGCACTAACAACAAATAGAAGAAAACGTTCTGAAATTGATTGCGGTGATGACTGCACAACTCTTAATATGATTCAATAATTAAATTGCGTAGTTATGTAAAATATACACCAATAAAGCTTTAAAAAATATAGACCATTTACTTATTGTTTTTATTTGCACTAATACCAACATTTTCTAATATTTATTGGCTCCTTGAATATTCTTTATGAAATGTATTTTTGTGACTGTGTTAATTTATATATTGAAAGTTTTCTCGTTTATGTAACTCTACATATCCAGAGTTTTTTTAACTGTTAAAATATTTTATGTGCTACATAAATTTTAACTATATACTAAAATCAAAGTAAACATAACTTCATCAACCCCTGTGAAGTCATTATTATTGTTCTTAACTGCTTTCCAATAGATGCCAAATCATGAACTTATGTACAACAGAACAAAACATCTTGCAGTCCTACCTAATCCTCACAATCGCCTATATAGTCAATCAATTCTATGATTGTGTCAGAGTGTCAATCCATATCACCAATGCCTTTTCCCCTCACATGATGAAACACGACAGACTGTGCTAACAATCGAGCACTGCTAATGTGTCCAAAGCTAGCTGAAGGATAATGTTCTGCTGTGGGCCATATGATTTTCACTGGTTTACTTTAGAAGTAGATTACCACGCATTCCTTCCTAGTCTGTCTTTGTCTGGAAGCTCTGCTAAAATGTGTCAACTATGGGGACCCTGCTGATATATTAAAGTGTTGGCATAGCTGCTTCATGAATCATATGAATAAATGAGATACCACAACAGGACCAATTAGTAGATGGGTGGTAGAAGTCAGTTCTAATTGACTTTTAAAAAATCCTGGCACTTTATTAAAATTTAAAAATAAGGGACCACAGAGTCAAAAGTAGAAATACTGTAATATGAAATAACTATTGTCAATTTCTTTAGGTTCTTACTAATTTATTATTTTAGATTTCACATGAACCCTTTTGAGGTTAAGTAGGATATATATTACCAATAAAATTCAGGAAATAAACCTGAGATAATCCACTGGATCTTATTTATTTTTGTTGAAAAAAATCACTTGCAATTTTTTATACTGAGTAATAAGTAGCATGATCACATAAGCAGACCCACAAATTAATAAAACAGAACATGTAACTCCGTGTAACTGTAGCAGTAAACAAGTTAACCCTCCCAAAGCCCATCTGTAGGCAACAGGACGTCCCCTTACAGAAGGGTCGCAGGGAAGAGACGAGCCAGTCAGGGTGCAGTGTAGCACTGATGAAACATACAACTTTCCTCTAGTTCTTTAATGCTTCATCCCCCCACTGTCAAGATCCCAATTCTTCCTTACAAATCCAGCTAGACCATAGCATGTACACTGGTACAGATCAGAGCTGGGAACATAGGGAATCCAGGACATATAAACCCCTCAGGACCCGTAATGAAGTAGTGATACCAGGAGGGGAAAGGAAAGGTGGGTAAAAAGGGGGAACCAATCACCAGGATCTACATATTAACCCCTCCTTGGGGGCCAGACAACAGAAAAGTGGGAGAAGGGAGACATTGGACAGTATAAGACATGACAAAATAATAATAATGTATAAATTATCAAGGGTTCATGGTGGGGGTAGAGAGGGGGAAAAAATGAGGAGCTGAGACCAAGGGCTCAAGCAGAAAGTAAATGTTTTGAGAATGATGATGATAACAACGTACAAATGTGCTTGACACATTGGATGGATGTATGGATTGTGTAAGAGTTGTACGAGCCCCCAATAAAATGATTTAAAATAAATAAGTTAACCCTATTACCACCAAGGATGGAATATTATTCTGAATAATAAAATGCTTCATATTTCGTTTATATTTTACATTTGGAATCTGCCTTTTAAAAAAGGGGCAAAGTCTAAAGAGCTCTGCAGGTATAGAAAGGATAGACCACTAATGTTTTCTTATATTGCAAACAATTTTCAAAAAATTACTTGAAAGAGAATTTGGTATGCATTACAATGTGACTCATAACAAGATTATATTATTTTTTTTAAAAGATCACCAAATTATATCCAGTTCTCAGAGATGGGGAGGAGAAACCAGAAACAAAGTTTTCTTATAGAAGCAGATCACCATGCCTATCCTCTCTGGTCTGCCCAGGTGGGTCTAACCCACCAAACCTTCATTAAGTAGTCTAGCAATTTACCATTTGAGCCATCTCAGGGCTCTTCAATGAACAAAACCAGTCCCCCAAGTAAAGAATTATTCAGCAACAAATGACAGCAGTATTAAGGTTCAGTAGGCCTGCTTAAAATTATATATAAATATCTTAACTAATTTATGCATATTACTGTAAACAACCATAAAAAATCAAAAATGTTAAAATTTAAAATATGGTAATTT